CCTCCATCCAAAACCATCCAGGAGAAAAGTTACTGTGCCTTGTTTTGGGAAAAACAAGGAACATCCCATTAGGACCAGTTCCAAAAGGTGACTAACCTTTACCTACGTACCAACTTGCATCAGATAGAGACAACTTCTGAGCTTTTATTTTTAAATTTTTTTTAATGATTGTTTTTACCTTTCTCCACACAGTTCTCAGTCTCTCCTCACCTCAGTGCCTGCATTTGCTCTCTCCCCTCGTGGATCTCGTGCCTCTTGCACACGTGGCCCCTAAAAGGTGCTGCCACACACACGGGAGGTGGGTCCCAGCGGGGTTTCAGCCCTGTGCTGGTGCAGCAGAGCAGGACGAGCTCTCCTGGAGGCCTGGGGGAGCTGCTGACGAGTTAAACTGCAGCTGCTCTCTGCCCCTGGCTGCTTGGGCTTGCTTAAAACGTATTTTATTACCAGTCAGGAGTCCGTATGCTCACAGAAGCAGAGAAAAGCCCTGTCAGAGTCAGGCAAAGCTCCTCTTGCTGCCCTGACCCAGGGCCCAAACCCTCCAGGGATGCCAGGCTGTTCCTGACCCATCCCTCCAGGGATGCCAGGCTGTTCCTCACCCAAACCCTCCAGGATGCCAGGCTGTTCCTGACCCATCCCTCCAGGGATGCCCAGGTTGATTTCCTGAGCCATCCCTCCAGGGATATCCAGGTTTTTCTGGCTCCCATCCTTCCAGGGATGCCAGGCTGTTCTCCTGACCCAAACCCTCCAGGAATGCCCAGGTTTATTTCCTGACTCATCCCTCCAAGGATATCCAGGTTGATTTCCTGACCCATCCTTCCAGGGATATCCAGGTTTTTCTGGCTCCCATCCCTTCAGGGATGCCCAGGTTGATTTCCTGACCCATCCTTCCAGGGATATCCAGGTTTTCCTGGCTCCCATCCCTCCAGGGATGCCCAGGCTGTTCTGGCTCCCAGCTCAAGTCCCTTCCTGCTGGCAGCAGAGCCCGGGTCCCCCTGGCCAGCCCCATTCCCTGTCCCCAGTGTCCCAGCTGGGACAAACCTGCTGCTGGCAGATCCCTGCCCATCCCAGAGGAGCTGGCCCAAGGCAGGAGCGACCCCAAGTCGGGAGGAAAGGCTGGGCTGGTGCTGTGAGCACACAAACTCCAGCAGTCCTCAGCTCTGCCTGGCCTCAACCAGCTGTTTGGGCCGAATTTTATTTCTGTGGAGGTGTGTGGGCAGCCAGAGGCACTTGTGAGGTTGGGCTGGAGGGTGAAATGTTGCTATTTTGGCCGAGTTTTGTCAGGCTGTTCCTTGGCAGGGTGAGTCCCCTGCTGTCTGAGCCGGGCCCTCAAAGCTTTGGAGCCGTCACTTTCCCGTCAGGGGTCACTGTTCTTGTTTTAGTTCTTCTCAAATTAAAGGCTGCCAGCCTCCCTTTCCCACAGCAAGGGCTGCGTGCTGGCTCGCAGCTGCTTTGGGGACGGATTTGGCAGTGCCTTAACCACTTCCAGAAACAGTTTTGGGGTCTGCACTTCCTACCCCGAGCTCTTTGTCTTTTGAGACAAAATCCTATTGCCAGAGCTGGGGTGTCCTTGAAAAATTCCCCCCTGACCCAAGACCGAAAAGCCTTTTATTTTAAATACTGAATTTGAGGAACTTTCCTTGCACAGAGGCTTGCTCTGATGCTCAAATGTTTTTGATAATTTAAGTGCCTAAAG